GACCGTCGTTAAACCCTGGAACAGATTGAAGTTGAAGGAAATCAGCGGTTTATCATCATTACTATCCCCGGATCCCGGATGGCCGCAATGGGCTAGGAATTGCTGCTGGCGGGCGCGCTCACGCCCGGGGTCAAAACATTGTAAAAACAAGATAAGCTTACGGCACTCCTCTCGCTCCTTCACAGCCCGGAAGACCCCCCTCCAGCAGCCCGCCTCTTGTGGTTCGCCTTCATGATCAAAGATCGGATCGCACCATGTTGAGCCGCGAGGGCACGCTAAATGAACTTTCTTTTGTGTGCAGTATTCCTCGTTCGGTCCTATTACAAAATAAAAGCTATGTTCCAGGGGCTTATGTTTATTTTTCCAATATACATTTTTCCTAAAAACCATTTCCTAAAGTCGATTCTTCCTAAAATTTGGCATGTAAATCGGCGGCGTAAAAATATCAATAAAATTCAAATGCTATCATTTTTCGTCATCAAAATATCAAAAAAACAAATGTTATCATTATTGATTATCAAAATCTCAGTAAATGGCAAATTTTTGGTTATCAAAGCATTTATTTGCCTTTTACAAAACTTTTTCCTTGCTTTTTAACTTCCTAGATCTAGGCTAAATGGACCACTGAACTATACTGTATGACTACTAAAGAACTTAAGCTTGTTCATTATATACTACTAAAGAACGATTAGGAAAAATGCTTCTGAGGAATTTGAATTATGAAAAATGACGTTAGGAAAATGACAGTATCCGAAATAGTTTTTGAATACAAAAACCCAACTAAAAATATAAAAAATTGTCCAAAGTCTCCCCTCGCCCCGGCTAAACGGGAAGCCGAACCCCCCGACGCATCACAGCAACCGAACACTCACCGAAGATTTCCAGCTCGTTGAACGCGACCACGCGGTCGTGATCGCGCGTCAGCTGATCCTCCGTGTTGTTCTTGCATCTATGTGGGTGAATGGCTTGGCAAAGGCTTGTTTGGAGATCATCCTCTGAATCGGGGGAATTAAACAGGTGCGCAAATCTGGAGCTTTCTCAATACCGGGCTGGCAATCAAATTTTTATCCTGCAAGCCCCGAAATGCCTAAGAACTCGGTAAGAAGCACTAGTGTGGATTTTAATTGCGTTTTTAGTCAAATTTAACGCTAGTTCCAGGGGAACAACAAGGGGCGGCTAAATTGATCCGGCCGCCTGGGTGCCAGCTAACAGGCCGGGAATTGTGCAAAAAATTGCTAGCACAAATTATAACATTTGGATTGATGTTTAGCAGGCTTCCAGTTTTTTGGCACTGCTACAGAATTTCCTCAAAAATCGGCCCTCCTTTAGCGGGCCGCAGTCATGTACGTTTGTAATTTAGGTGTCTATTGAAAGCTCTCGGACAGGCGAGAAAAAAGTAAGGCAAGAAAGGCGGTTTTTTTAAATAGGTACTTTAATTCACCAAATTTCAGTTATTTAAAATCGAAAAACTGCAGATTTTAGGCAAAATCAGTGTATCAATTGCTTGCTGAAGATAACAGGACGACAAGAATTCGGTTCCAATTAAAGGGACCCTAACGGGAAGGATTAGGATAATGACTCCCCCAGCCGCTTTGACTTACAAGGCTTACAGCCATTAGGCGCAGGTAAAAAAATCCAAAGTCTGTGTAATAGCACTTACCGTTGAAGCCGGCACAGATGGCCGCCACGATCTTGAGGCAGAAAATGACCAAGCAGGTCAGTTTCATGTCTAGAAAAAAAGAGAGAAATTGGTAATAGTCCAGTTATCCCCGGACCCCGGCCCCGCTCCCTCCCCCCCACCCTCAGCCGCAGCTCCTCGGCTATACGTCCTATTATGTTCCGGGTCACTCAAAATGTTTGCCATGGTTGGTGAGTCTATGACCAAATTGTTTTCTGGCGTCAAAAATTGCTAAAAAACTGTTTGTAAGTTTTTAGAAGCTGAAAAGATTTACTTCGCCCCCCCCCCCAGCCGCAAGGTCCCAAAATTTTTTTAAGGCTACTAATCGGTAGTCCTAGGTCCTAGCTACTATCCCCTGGCCAGGATGCGAAAAATTATTAAATATTAGATATTAAAAATATTAAAATTTATACAATTAAAATCGTGTTTCGGCGGCTATTCGAATTTTGCTTATTTTCACCATAACTATTTTATTTTACGGTATTTTGGGTTGTAATTAAATATCTTGGTATATTTTTTGGGGTTCTATTGACTGGTGTTAAAGAAATTTTGTAAAAATGTTTAAAATGTCGAAAACTAGCCTTACACCGCACGTTCCCGTAGAGAAATCGCGTTTAAAATTTGTTTTTGCTGCAACTATTTTATATTTGAATATATTGAGCTGCCAGAAAATGAAAAAAATTTGATGCTCTATCGAATGGCGTATCGAAAATCTCAAAAAAATAGGGAGAATATCGAAAACTAGCTTTTACATTCCGGTTTTTAGAGGTTGTTCTTGTTTTTGCTATAACTATTTTATACTACAATATATTTTTTATTTGGTTCTAAAAGAGCTAATGTAGTAAATTTTAATATATATATTGTTTGATGCTGTAACGAATCGCGCCGAAAAAATCCCAAAAATTACGTAAATATTGTAAACTTGGGGACCCTCGGGCTAGGGGGTAAATTAAACCGTTGCCCCATTTTCTAGTACTTTTCATGCTGGGAACAAATTTTTTTTAAGTATTGCCACCAGGATTTTTTATAAGTATTGCCACATTGCCACTTTTGGAGTACTTGACGCATTAATAGGACGTATAGGGTAACGGGGGAGGGGGGCAAAGCTAAGGTTAAGGAGCGACGGGAAGGCAATACGGAAAATTGAATGCAGTGATTTCAAATATGGCCGATCGGAGGCGGGAGCTGGCTTATATATCCATGAAATCACGCGCCTTTCCCTAAAGACAAAACAATTAGGGTCTCACCTCTCCCTGCCAGGGATGACCGTCGTCGTGGAATTTGCAGGGGCCCATCGGGAAATATCGTGAAACATCGTGAAACCCACCAAATTCCGCACCTAATTTTATTTTGACTATCACTGGTAATTACGCACGTTAAGGGTCGTGCACGTGCGTGTGTGCCTGTTTACGATTATCACCCCGCATTTTAGCCATGGCGTCAAAACTAAATCATGCACAATCAGCCACCGCCACCCTGCCGATCACAGCGACCGATCAACGATGCAGCTGCATCGAAAAATCGCCTGCCAGAGGGAAACTTTTAGAATTCTAGAGAACAAAATATCTAAAAATCAGAATCTCATAAGAAAATAAGAATACCTAAAAATCAGAATCTCTGAAATTCAGAATCTTCAAAAATCAGAATCCCTAGAAATCAGAATTTCTAAAAATCATAGTTTCTAAAATCGGAACGTCGAAAAATCAAAATCTTTAAAAATCGGAATCTCCAAAAATCAGAATGTCGAAAAAACAGAATTCCTAAATTTTATAATCCCTAAAACTCAGAATGTCGAAAAATCAGAATCTTAAGTTTCAGGATCAGTATAAATCAGGTCCGCAGCACTGTTCAGGTCCGCAAAAACGACGACAGAAAAAGGGCCGACCGGATGCTGGCGGTGATGGTAGTTAATTGCGCATCAAGCTCACCTTTTCGATATTCAGCTAATCGTCACGCACGTCATCACTGCCATCTTTTTCCTCGGCAACTATCTAGGTAGCAAGCTTAGACGATCGGCTACACACCCGCCTCGCAGTTTATCATGAATGAGAGGGTGCCGGTGGTCGGTCATGGGATTTATACGTGGGTTTAAGAATAATCAAACGTCTCTAGGGTCCCTCTCTCTCTCTCTCTCTCTCTCTCTCTCTCTCTCTCTCGCTCTCTCTATCTGTCGCTCTCTCTTTATAGCTCTCTATGTCTATCTCTCTCTCTCGCTATGCTTTTTCTCCCCCTCTCGCTCTCTCTCACCCGCGCGCTCTCTCTCTCTCTCTCTCGCTCTCTCTCGCTCTCGTTCTTTCTTGCTCCCTCTCTCTCGCTCTTTCTCGCTCGCTCTCACTTCTCTCTTCAGGTTCGTTGTCGCGCGTTCAATCGGACGCCTCGAGAAGAAACAGAGAAGCCGAAAATCATCAGCGACGGCGAGTCGGCCAAAGATAGCATTTGACGAGTTTAATAAATTTATTTGTCTGTCGAGCTTAATCAACAATTTTCTAAAATACATGTCTGATTGTGCATCCCACGTCTCGGTCCATGTACCGATTTTGTCCGGTTTTTGAAGACCTCCAAATTACAGGGTCAGTGTCCCATTCAACCGTATATCCACGCGAAAACTGAAAATTAAAAAAGCCGGCAATTATCGTTCCCCATCCAATTACACCGGGCATAAATTTGGAATTTTTTTGTGTTCGTGTCGTAAGCAGAGAAAATGGGGTAGTTCGGCGACTCGAACGGAATTGGTCGTAATCGCTGAGATTTGCCGTAAATAGCCTCTAGCCTCCCCGAGTGCTCTATATTTCTGTATAGCTTCTGACAGCGGCTTTTAAGCGCAAGAAGTGAATAACCGGAAGCTAATCTCGCCTTCCCGCTTCGCGGCTTTTTAAGACTGACGCTGTCCATTACCCATTTGATGTGAATAATTTTTGACCGAATCCCGATCACAAAATTTTTTTGAGTCATTAGCGTTTCCGGCCTTTAATACTTGCTTCATAACAAATCAGTTGGCCAAAATTTTACTACGGTAAATAGTACTTGTCAAAAAATACCGAGACATCTGCGATCGATTCCGGCCCATTCTACACCTAATTGCGTTTCGTCCTGATCCATTTAACAGGCTCCTGAGGCAGTGGTGCGGAACAACAGCCCGGAAGCGTGCATGAACATTCTCACAGATAACCGCTAGCTTTATCTATATTTTAATACCATTTTGCGGTTTTAGATAACAGTTTTCAGGCGCAGTCCCTTTGCTAAGACACTTTAATTTTGACCTTCCGCTCCCTTTAAAGATAACAAGAGCATCTTTTTTACCACATCGATAACATTTCAAAGAATGCCGGACCCAATGACGTCGACCGAAGCTGTAAATACGACGACAGCCAGCGACTACGAGGACTACGTTCCGAACGGGTGTTCGGACTCGGAAGGGTACTTTTATACAAATGCCTACGAGAGCACCGTTGGCTGGGACGGGCTGCCGAATCGGGACGACAAGAACCAGCGCAGCGTCTATTTTATATTCACTGCCATGTGTACGGTAGGTAGGGACGAAAAAAGGACCCTAGTTGTTGACAAATACTCCTGTGGTGTTTTAGCATCGTATCGGTGCTTCTCAAATCGATTTTAAGCCGACCAAAATCCTGAATTCGGACGAGACTTGAACGTAGAATTGATCGATTTGGTTGAATTCGACGAATTTTTCCAAATTAATTTTGAAGCTGCTAAAAACTAATCAAAACACATCGGAAAGCGTGTGTTTATTTTTCCGTTTCTCAGTGTGACTTTTCCCCGCACTTCTGTTATTAGAGGATAAGCTAAATCAGACGGGCTTTTGCAAAATTGCTACTGCTAAAATGCTGATTAATTCTGTAGATACCTTCGAAGGCTATAGTTATTTTCAGTACGGTCCCGTCATCATCATCCTGAACATCTACTGTATTCAACTAATCTATCGTCGTCACCTCCTAACGAAAAGCGTGAAATTCATCCTGATGCTTGACTCGGGATGCCGATTATTCGAAGGCTTTGCCACCGTCTAAAAAGCACCCTGTTTGCTAAAGTACGGATGCGGCTTCACTGCGGCAATGTCAAAATTTGATAAAGCCGAAAAATAGTTGATGTCGTTATTTGGCATTGTCAGAGTTTAACTTTTCGAGGGCCAAATTTCATGATATCGAAGCCTATATTGGCGAAATTGCTTAATGTCGAAATTGCGTAGTATCGAAATCTCAAAATTTCACATTTTTGCAATTTTTCTTTTTCTCTGAATTTTGAAATTTTTCGACGATTTTGAAATTCCGTAATCTCGGCATGGTGAAAAATTTTTTTCTCTCTTTCAGCTATTGGTGCGTCGAGGTGTACGCCCCGTTCTTGAGCAACGCCATCATCACTTCCGCCCAAATCGCGATGACGTATTCGGCGCAGCTACTCGGTAATGCGCTGTCCATCAACAGGTTTTTGCTTGGGATTTTAAAACGTTATTGACCAGGTTCTTTGCCATATTTCTGGATGGGATGTTCTATCGGTACGCGGAAAGGCTCGCCGTTCCGCACGCGCTGCTCGCCTGGGCCTTTCCGGTGGCGCTGTTTTGCGGAGCGATCGGAAACCGTAATTGGTCCTTTTATCAAGAATATATAAAATTTCCTTAGTTTACAACTCTCGGCAGCACTTCACGTGCTACGGGGGGCTCCATTGGGACCCGCTGAACTACACGAACTTGATCTTCTACACATGGGCCACGATTATGTTCCAGTTTTTGGCCCGCCTCGACTATTTCATGTACGCTGTGCTGGCGCTTTCACTGGTGCTCGATCTATCCACTTTCTTCAAGCTGCGGAAATTCGTTAGTTTTCACTCGGGACGCCATGCAAAATTTTGCTCTGATTCCGAAGCAGCCGCGTCAAAGGGTTAAGGAGCGTTCGGCTCAAGATGCCCGGAATTTTTACAGGTCCTCCATGCCAACGACAGAAAGCGGTCGGACCGAAAAGTCGCGGTAATGGTGGGGCTTTTTCGCAAAAACAAAGACGCGAATTAGTTAATCGTAACCCACGCCATCACCGGGATTTTCTTCATTGGCAATTTTTTGACGAACACGCTACTGCATCGCCGGGAAACGCTGACCCCGGTCCAGGAATATATCATCAATGAGGGGGCACCGGTCATCGGTCACATTGCCTACACGTGGGCCTTTCCTTCGGATCTCCTCCGGTTACCTTACGGAATTTGTCATGAAATTTGTGCTTTTTGATAGAATAGAACTAACAAGGGAACCTCACTCGGACAGGGTGGAATTTCGGAAAACGCTCGCGGCTACCCCTAGGTAATCGGCCACTGCGATCACGATGCACTTGTCAGATTTTTCTGAACGCACCTGTGGACAGAGATACAGCACTTCCGGAAAATGCTGTTTTACATGCAAAAAATTAGCATAGAGGGATGGTTTATGAGGCGCTTCCATCACTATGGAATCACCAGTTGAATGGCCGAGTGGTAAGCGACTCGCTTGGTAGGATGCTGACGAGGGTACGGATCCGCTCACAATTTTTTGCATTTGCTTTTTTTCCAGTGATTTTTATACAAGTTCAGAACCATAAGTCGTAAAGCACTTCTTAAGTCGTCTCAAAACTAGTTCTGAAAAATTAAAAATTTTTTGTACCGACGTGTGTGGGAACCCAGCCGGCAGGGCTGATTTTCATTTTCGAATTTTTTGCCTACATGGCTGTACATGGAATATAACGCAAAATAGGGTTTTTGACTACGAGTAGTAACATTCTGGACTTGTGCAAAAAACTTCTGGCCAAAAAGTAAAACAAAAAAATTGTGAGCGGATCCGTACCCTCGTCAGTTTCTTATCAAGCGAGTCGTTTACCACTCGGCCATTCAATTGGTGATTCCATAGTGATGGAAGCGCCTCATAAACCATCCCTCTATGCTTAATTTTTGCATGTAAACAGCATCCGAGTGCTATCTGATCCACGGTGCGTTCGAAAAATGACAAGATCGTGATGCGTTACAGCGCAGTTCGAAATTCACTTCACGAGTTCCTGAACACGATATTTTGATGCTTGAGTAGTTCTCAAGATTCAGGCTCGTCGTCACGCTCTTCAATCGACCGACCAAGAGAAGCGGCTACGAAACCGAAAAGCGTTAGTGTCACCCAGTCCTCACGGGATAAACCCAATCAGAGGCTCGAATAAAAAGATTCTCTCCTGAAACTAGTTAGCTATCATAATGTCAATATTCGTCCCGATAACTGCGGAAAATTCTATCAGATCCCGCATTTTCCGACCCCTGAAATTGCGGGTGTTCCGATTATTTATTGTTGCCAGCACGTCGGGGCCAAATTAACGGTCCCGCGTTTTTTTGCGGTGAGGACCAATAAAAGTGGCCCGGCAGTAATCGCATAAGGCCCGAACCCAGGCCACAAATAAGCTTCCTGCGACTGCAATAAATTTCACGACCACGGGAACCTTTATTTCCAAATTTTCGAGCTTCCTGGTCCGTACGACCCAAAATTACAATAATCTATTTCCAGATCTCTCACTCTCGCTCGCGCGCTCTCTTCTTCTCTCTGGCTCTCTCACTCTTTTTCTCTTTCTCTCTCTCTCTGGTTCTTTTCATCAACAGCCGAAAATTTCAGAATTTCCGAATATGGACCTGAACGGGAGTCCAGGCCCTATCATGAACAAATCCGATGCCACCTCGCCGGACACAGATTATTCTGAATTCACGCCAAATGGTTGCGGATATTATTTCTACGAATATGGAATATTTTATTCGAATGGGTATGGCAGTATCACCGACTGGGACGGGTTGCCGATTCGGGACGACGAAAACGAGCGCAGTGTTTATTTCATATTTGGGGCGATGTGTCTTGTAAGTCAAAATTGGCAAAATTGCTTAAATTAAGGTTCTTTTAGTATGCTCCAATTATTATCTTTATTAATATTTATTGTATTAAATTGATATATTCCCGGAAGACGCTGACAAGTAGCGTGAAGTTCATCCTGATCCTTGACACCACATGTCGGTTGTTTGAGGGCTTCGCGACTGTTTATAAAGCGCCATGTTTGATAAAGTGAGCCTACTCTGAAAAATTTTAAAATGATTTTGTATAAAAACAAAGTAAAATTAGTTTTGACTTTTTAAGCTATTGGTGCGTCGAGGTATCTGCGCCCTACTTAAGCAATGTAATCGTCACATCCCTGCAAATTGGGATGACCTATCCAATGCAGCTCCTTGGCAACGCTTTATCGATTAATAGGTATCGATTTTTTTATTTTTTCATATTTCGGGTCTTGTAATAGCCACGATAACGAGCAGTTTACCGTTTTTCCTTACTTAGGACAATCTCAAGGATTCCAGATTTTTCGCAATATTTTTTGACGGTCGATTCTATAGCATTGCCGAACAGGCAGCGATTCCACATGCTATAATGGTTTGGGCGTTGCCCTTATTTATCTTCTGTTTTTCGATCGGAAACCGTGGGTTTACGCAACTTTTTAAGGTATCAAAAAAACCGGTTTTTCCACGTTGTCGAAAATCATTTTTATTAATTTTGATACGATTAAATGGCAGTTTTCTACATTTGGGATGAACAAATTTCGAGATAATGAAATTTCGACTTATTGACATTTCAAAAAAAGTGCACTTTGGACAAAGCGGCTCATTAAAATTAATTAACCTATCATAAACAGAACTTTTTGCATTTAAAAATATTTAATATAGGAAAAGGCGAGATTACTGTATATTTCACACGTTAACAGTATCCTTTTGTAGTCTACAACCCGCTGCAAAAGTTTACCTGCTACGGTGGGCTGCATTGGGACCCGCAGAATTATACAAATAACATTTTGTACTCGTGGAATTCGTTTATATTTGATATAGTTATCATGAACATTGATTATGTTATGGCGGGCGTACTCGTGTTCTCACTAATCCTGGATTTGGTGACGCTATTCAGGCTCAGGAACTTTGTAAGCAATTGGATTGTATTTAGTATTTGGCAACCTCTCGTTCGAGAAAATTAAAAGTTTTTTAGACTATTTTTAATGAATGATTCAAATCCTTAGCAATATAAAGTTTTGGACACTATAAAATTTGTATCCAGAATTTAATTTGTTATACCCATTTTTCTAGGTCCAAAGAGGCGACAAGAAACGCAGAGCCGATCGGAAACTTACTGTAATGGTAATAGATGCCCGGCTCCTGAACTCAATTGGTGCAATTTTTTAGTTGATCGTGACCCACATCATCACGGCTATATTCTTGATTGGAAATTCGATTACCCGATACCTTCGACCGACCCTTGTTCTCACTCCGGTGCTTACGTATATCTGTAATGAGGGGGCCCCAGTTATTGGGCATATCATTTTCACGTGAGTTGTCTATTAAAGGGACCAGGAAGGACCGGAATCGCCCAATGAAGATGGCTGGTTATGGACAGTTATGCATCAAGTCAAATTACGCGTGAAATTTTTGTGACAATCCTGCATCACATGTCGTAAAACATTAATATCTGCGCGACATCGGGTGTACTTTCGCGCACTGCGTAGCTGTTCATACCCAGCCAGTTTCTGGCTTGTTAGTGCCTTTAACCGATAACAATCTTTTTCAGTCTCGTCGTCACCTACTTCAACCGTAATCCTCGCGAAAATTCGAAGAATCCGAAGATTATCAGCGTCACCGAGTCGGGGCGTGATCAGTCAAGCCCGAGGAAGTGACTTTTGTGAATCTCATTTGGCTTCTTTTACTGGGTTGTGAATCGCATAATAAATCAATTGGCAGGAAATAAAACATCGCAGTAAATTTCAGGGCAGCTGCCCGGGCATTCAGATTCTCATAATCGTACTTGAGCCTTATCTCTCTCTCTCTCTCTCTCTCTCTCTCTCTCTCTCTCTCTCTCTCTCTCTATCGCTGTCTCGCTACCGTTCCCTCGCTCTCTCTCTCTCTCCCTCTATCTCGCGCACTCTATCTCCCCCTATTTGCCACATATCCGCGCGAAAAATCGGTTTCTCTCGGCACCACATTAAACTGGTCAATTTGTATCAGAAAACCACAAAGTTGCTTGAAAGTTGTGCGATACCGTAGTTTCCAAGTGTTCCACGCGTATTTTTTCGAGTCCACCAAATTTATTCGACAGCCCCACATCACATCGCAATCACATCACAAACAAACACACAGAGACAATGTTGCACAACACTTTTCCAACCAGGCGTATTTAGTGTTGAAACCTAATTGTACAAGTAAATGGATAGATAAATGTGTGAATGGATGGATGGATGGATCGATGGATGGATGGTTGGATGGGGGGCTTCGATGGATGACGAGTACGGTGGAATGGCGAGACTTCTAGACTTCTAGACTTGGGGCTTTTCGTTGAAGGCCTTCGGGTTCTTGGACGGCATCCAGGGGCGCTTCTCGTTGCTGTCGCCTGGAAAAGAGAAATAGAGAGAGATAGAGAGAGGCAGAGAGAGAGAGAGAGAGAGAGAAAGAGAGATAGAGCGAGACAGTGATAGAGAGAGAGAGGCGGAAAGGGATAGAGAGATAGAGAGAGACAGAGAGAGAGAGAGAGCTACGTACTCTTCGGCTCGCGACGAGACTCATTGCTGGAGGCTCGGTTGGCCGTCTTGCCCCTGTTGCGTCTGCGGACGATGACGCGAACGACTAAGATCAAGTAAATTCTAGTAATCGGCTCAAGTACTTCCCAAAAAAATCTCTGCTAGCTCAAGAAACCCACGCAGTGCAAAAAGCGCGATGACCACCACGATGCCGATGATGGAGCAGGAGATGATCATGATCACCTGACCGCGGTGCAGCCGGCGATCTGGAGAATTGACCATTGGTTGACTAAGGAAGTTTCCCATACATTCGCATTCCCCATCCGTTTTCACGTTTTTCACGTCCTCGATGGTCTGACACTCGCCTGCGCACGCGATCTGGCCCTCTTTTGGGCATTCTGAAACCGCAAGCTACTTTCTTCTGCCATTCCAGCAAATCCTCACGTGCAAAGTGGCAGATCGTCCTGTTTTCCTCGTCGAAGCTCATCGACGTGATCCTGTCGAACCCGATGCACGTGTAGTCATTTCCAGCCCAGCAGGCAAGTGTGTTGTCCATTCCGGCACACTCCTTCGCCGGCTTGAGCCCTGGAGTTCAGGAATCAAAAAGCGGAAGTTAGTCTCCGTACGCTGCAGCTCGTTCGGGTTGATGAGGTGGCATTGGTCCTCGTTGATGATCGTCTTGATGTGCCAGTAGGGGACGCAGACCTTCTTGTTGCCCCTGTCGCGGATGTTGCACGGTTGATGATCATCGGGACAGCCTGAAAAGCAGGAATGGCTTCTTGCTCTCTCTCTCTCTCTCTCTCTCTCTCTCTCTCTCTCTCTCTCTCTCTCTCTCTCTCTCTCCGCTCTCGCTCTCTCCCTCTCTCTCTCGCTCTCTCTCTCTCCCTTGCACTCTCTCTCTCCCTCGCACTCTCTCTCCCCCTCGCACTCTCTCTTTTTCTCTCTCTCTCTCTCTCTCTCTCTCTCTCTCTCTCTCTCTCCCCCCTCGCCCCCACCCTCTCCCGCACTCCCTCTCTCGCTCTCTCTCTCTCTCTCTCACCGTACCCTCGAAGCCGCACACTCCCGTCCGGTCGTTGTACCGCGTCAGCGTGGAGTCCTTCTGATCCGGGGTCCACATGAACTGACACGACTTCTCGTTCTCCCCACAGTCCACGTATCCGATGGGGCATACTGTAAGAAGTTGGTTGAGTTCAGTTCTCGACAACTACAGGTAGACTCATTCGACGCCTGGCATGCGCCCTTCTCGTTAATGGAGGTGATGAAGGAGAAGAACGTGCAGTAGGGTTTCCCGTCAGGCCCTCCTCCGGTGCATGGATAGGTTGAGGGTTGCTTGGAACAAGCTACAAGAAAGGATGGAATTCATACATTGTGTATACCGGTCAAGGTGCACAGCATCGTCGTGTGGTTGTACTTTGAGATCGACTTGGTCGGGACGCAGAGCGAAATGCCGCGCGTTCCACAATCGACCTGGTTCTCGTACGGGCATCCTGAAACAGTATGTGCTGACCCGACCCATGGCAAACTCACCCGCCCATTTCCAATTATCCGGAAGCGTGCCCTCGCTGAGCATTTCGAATGGGACGCATGCTTCGAACTCTTCGTCCGCCAGCAAGGCATGGCCTATCGGGCACCCTGGAATGGAAAGTTCACCGACCAACACCAGAGCAGCAGACCTTTGAGGTCGCAGATGTCCGAAGTCTCGTTTTTCAACTGCTGCCTCAGCACGCATATCGGTTGCCCATCCTTCCCGGGGCAGGCTACAGCTGTTGTTCCGCAATTCGGAGGCGTTGCCCATGCCGTGGTAGCAACTCCGCGCGCCAACACCGTTGAGAGAACGGCGCAAACCGAGAACGCTTGAAGCGTGTGATCGAACATCGCGCTAAAAATTAGCATTAATAGGCGATTAGCATGCACAAGGTTAGCATGCCTTCTACAAAACGGAAAATGACCAACCTTATGCTATCAGCGGATGTAAGAAATGAATTACCTGCGGGGTCGCGCCGGTAGCGATGGTAAAATTTAAATGCAAATATAACAGCCAAGGTAATGTGCTTTACCCTTTCCAAACGTTATGCAATTTTCATAATTGCTTTTTTCAGCGTCCCTGTAGAGATTCTCAAATGTTTTCTCCATCAGAAAAAGCGCGTTTCTCATAAAAATGAAATGTTATTGTATTTTAATTCCCTCGTCCGCCGACCCGATTTATGTTTTGGCTCCCGGTTTGTGATATTGGCGTGTGAAGCGGAAAGCGGGGGCGGGGGGGGGGGGGGGTAGGCGGCGAATTGCACTCTTCCAGGAAAAGAACTCGCTCACACGCAAACATAATTTGCATATAGTCGTATATATTTATTCAAAAAATCGCCGCATTTGGGGATCGGTGCAATTCACTAATGATTGTTGGTGATCAGTTTCGTGGCAAGCATTGTCAGGGTCGAGATGCCGCACGTCAAAGATCGGCTGGCGGATGATGTTTCCTCTGAAAAAACCGTACACATCCATCATCAGCACACATCCCTCAATAATTGAAAATTAAATTTTCGTTCCTCCCCATACGGTTGTTGGTAAGAAACCTTTTGGTTCGGTCTTCTCCTGGGCAGCAACAGCAGCAGCCGCAGCAGCTTTGTCCGCCGGCGTGGCGCGAATGCACTCATCACCTTTCCCGGTCGAACTGATCGTCTTCAGGTCGTCGTAGGGGATACATTGCACCCCGCCTTCCACCATGCACGGGTGCGTACCGGGTTTATCGGGGCCGCAGCCTAAAGACACACTATTCAAAGCCAAAGATGCAGGACCTCGCGCGATACAGCCTCCCTTGGTGATGTTGTAGTCATCGAGTAGGTTCGCCGAAATGCAAAGCGGAGTCCACGTTCCGCAATCGATGTCCCTTTGCTTTGTACAGTCTATCACAAACGCTTTAGAGAGGTGGATGGCTGAACCCACGTTCCCACATCCAAAACTTGCTGAGTGACGCGTTGACGATACGGTTGAGCGGTGCGCAGGTGACGTTCCGGAAGACGACCTGGATTTTGGCCTCGCCCGTTGGGCAACCTAGAGCAGTGCGGTATTCGACTGTCAGCAGGGGCGGAGACTTTTCGCAGCGCAGACTAATTGTCTTTTTCGGCCTACACCTGCCAAAAAGAAATAATGTATTTTGTTAAAGTTTTTCATAGTCTTTCTCAAAGTGCATGGCAGCCAATTCCTTTCAGCTTCCTTACCCACCGATAAAGTTACAGCCGGGGGCTTCCGGATCGACGAGGTTACGTTTGAGCGCGCAAATTGGGGCCCCATCTTTTGCGTAGCACACCTTCGACATTTCGACACATTCTTAGAACGATTCAGGTCATCCACGTAATATTCAAACCAGGGCACCCGGGTTCCCAACAAAAATCTGGAGAAACCGTGGTATTCTGGGCGCCGAGCTCGCCGGTGTAGAGGACGAGCACGAGCAGGTAAACGAACAGCATCGCTCAAAAGCTGTCAAAAGATGTCTACTTCAGGCGCGTGACAAACCAAATGCTTTGCGGTAAAAAGCGAAAATAGCGTAGAAGTTTATTTATATCTCTTCCATTCAAATTGCTCAGCTTGTGCTACCAGTTGAGTCGAATTGTTTATTCAAAAACCAGATGGTTACAGTCGCTTCGCGACTGCAACCATCTGGCCTTCGGGCTACCCTACATGTCCCACTCCACCACATCCTTTCCCACGTCCATCAATACCCCCCATAGCTGAAATCCCCTTCAAAAAATACCTAAATACCTCCCTGATGGCTTTGATACCACCCCTAGGCGAAATAACCCTTAAAAAAAACGAAAATAACGACCGACCGGATGAAATGAGAGGAAAAAGAAATGAAACGACTCCCGTGAAAATTTTCATGCACGAAACGCGCGCCACCTGGCTCACTATGTCCAAAATCACCCCAACCTCCGTCCCCCACCCCTTTTACTAAGGAAAAACTTTCAAAGTTAATTTTACTAATTCAAATTAAAACTTTTTCATAATTTTTTTATCAGTTTGGGGGTTTCTGACCACGCTCTATCCGAATCCGAAGAGACCTAAGCTCTAGCTCCTTTCCCCTTCGAGTTGAATTCGGCTTCACACACACAGACGTCTTTACTTTTTTATTATAGTTGATGGCGAGAAGATAATCAAAAATGTTCAAATTTTTGTGACGATAATGGTGAAGACCAATCTGGAGAGAAGCCACGCTGCATTCGAGCTGGACGATGTTTCTCAAAAGTGAATAAAAGTTTTAAAGATCTTTGATACGCCATCTTTTGGCTCGTCGTGCCCTTGCCCTGCCGGAGTAGTGGCCAAGGCGACAGCCTTGTCCTCCGGTGTGGCGAGCAGGCACTCAAATCCAGTGGGATGCCAGGTGACCTCCTTCAGATCGTCGTAAGGAATGCATTGCACTTCATTGCCAATCTTGCACGGATGGGTGCCGGGCTTTTCCGTGCAGCCTAAAAGGCCGGCTGCCATGATTTTCGCCTGGCTGGTACTACCCGTAGTGATGCAGCCTCCCTTGGTGATGTTGTAGTCCTTGAGGTCGTCGTCGGTTAGGCAAATCGGAGTCCACGTTCCGCAATTCACTTCGCGTCGCTTCGTGCAACCTGCAAAAAGCCATTTCTGTAGGAGAGAGTTTTGGGGCCACAAGCTGTAAGGCGGTGGTGCCTGAACGCTAAAATGGTTTCCCCTCCACGTTTCCATCTGGAAGGGGCAGTCCATTCTCCTTTAATCGTCTAAGATATTGCAGGAAATAGGCCTTAGAAGTGAAGGTTACGGCCAGGACCAAGACATTACGACCATATTTACGCCCATGGCCTAGTGATCTTAAAGGGCACGTTCAGGGACGTTTTTGGGCAAGACAGCAAAGACTTTTGCCGCGCCCGGGGGTCGAACCCGGGCCTCCCGATCGGGAGGCGCGGTCGCATACCAGTTAGCGACGGGTGCAACCTGGTGAGGGGCCGAGGGGCGCCTCACCCCGGAAAGGAGGGGAATTGCCTCCCACTCCACGGGCAGGCCGTGCGCGCCGTCCCTTCGTCCATAGGGTGTATACGTTGGACAGAGTATACGGCCCCTCACTGAACGTGCGCTTTAAAGGGCGTCTCGCAGCAAGCCCCTTTTTTCGCGACTTGTGGAAGCGTCGCGGTCGAGTGCGTCGCGGCAGGGAGAGAAAGAGCGCGCCCAGAGGAGAGACACAGACAGAACTCTGCGTCTCTGCCCGGTCCCCAAAAAGCCGTAATCGGTGTGCTACCAGAGCCGCGTTAAGCGCTAGCCGCAGGGTAAGTAGTTTCAGTTGGTTTTTCCACGACGACTTCTCGGCTTATGCTCCTGAGTTGGTTACGTACCTTCCCACATCCAAAACTGCGCGAGTGAGGCATTGACGAGGCGGCTGACAGGCGCGCAGCTAATCACATCGCGATCGATGTTCAGGTTGATCCGGGCCTCGCCCGATGGGCAATCTAGACAGGACGTGGTGCAGTTTGTGGTGGGATTCTAGTCGTCCAGCTCCAGTGTCTCCAAAAAGTACCCGAATTTTTACGAAATTTTTAAACGGGAAAGTTTTAAGTCGCCATGATACCTGTGTTTTGTGTTTGTGTTTGTGTGTTTGTTTGTGTTTCATGTGTTTTTAACTCGAATATTTTCATTTTAATCAGTTTTGTTTTGTTCAGTCTTAAGTCGCCATGCTACATGTGTTTTTAACTCGAATATTTTCATTTTAATCAGTTTTCCTGTGTTCAGTCATATTCTCGTCTTACTGTGGAGGCTATACTTCGCCAACCACCCCGGGTCGTACCACCCCCAGGGGTGGTTCGAGGGTGGGGCGGCGGGTGGTTGGGGGGTGGTCAAAAGGGTGGCTGGGGGGTGGTAAATGCATTAGCCACCCCACCCCTTACAAAATTTTTTCATGATGTAGCAATAAAACTTTTCGATTTTCCGACTACATTGTCTTTGAGGGACCTTATCTGACTCGAACAAGCTTTTAGTGCCACATCATGAAAAAAGTTTGTAAGGGGTGGGGTGGGGTGGCTAATGCATTGACCACCCCCAACCACCCCACCAGCCACCCCTTTGACCACCCCCCAACCACCCCCCACGACCACCCCCCAACCACCCCCGCGACCACCCCCAACCACCCCACCAGCCACCCTTTGACCACCCCCAACCACCCCCACGACCACCCCCAACCACCCGCCGCCCCACCCTCCAACCACCCCTGGGGGTGGTACCACCCGGGGCGGTACCACCCGGGGTGGTTGGCGAAGTATAGTGGAGGCCAAGGGCTACATTTCGATACCCTTGCCAGGTCAGTAGGTTAACGGAGTTCTTAAGCTGCTTCTTACCCTTGTAGTTACAGTCTGGGGCATCAGGATCGACCAGAAAATTCCTGAGCACGCAAAGAGGCAGCCCGTCTTTTCCGGGGCACACCCTCCAATATTGCGCACAATCTGATACATTAGTCATATAAGTTTCAATCCTGGGTGCTGTTCTATTTCGCGGGGGGGAAAAAACTGTGCGGGGGGGAAAATGTTCTTCGGTTTGTTATAACTCTTTTATATTTTGCTATTTTGAGTTGTAATTAAAACTCTTAGTATATTTTTTGACGCTCTATCGAATGGCATGAAAGGAATTTTTTAAAGATATCGAAAATGTCGAAAACTAGCTTTCGACTCCACGATTCCATGTGGAAACACCGTATAAACCTTGTTTTTGCTATAACTATTTTATAAAACAATATTTTTAGATGAAATTACAACTCTAGGTATATTTTTTGATGCTCTATCGAATGACGGGTTCAAAATATCGAAAAACGGGCGAAAATGCCGAAAACTAACATTTCGGCACCAGTTTCAATAGTTTTTTTTGTTTTTGCTATAACCTTTTTATATTACAATATTTTTAGCTAAAACAAAAATTCTTAATATATTTTTTGATGCTCTATCGAATGGCGTTGCAAAAATCCCGAGAAAATAGCGAAAAGATAGAAGTTTTGGCGAAGCATATTTTCTCCCCCGCACAGTTTCCCCCCGCGAAATAGAACAGAACCCAATCCTGGAATACATGTACAAACATGGGCATCCGGGCTCGACACAAAAATCTGGAGAAACCGTCGTATTCTGGGCGCCGAGCTCGCCAGTGTGGAGGACGAGGACGAGCAGGTAGACGAACAGCATTGCCTCAAAGGTCAGAAATTCTATCTGAATTCAACGACCAACCTTAACAACCTTAGCTGTACTGCAAAAAGCCAGAATACCGTAGAAAGTTTGCAAATATATTTTCCGCGCATTCAAAGTTGTTTGTTTGTGCTGATGCTTGAGTCCAATTGCTTACACAAAAATCAATCCAAAACTAAATTAAAAATGTCGAAATTTTCAACTTCGGTGAACCACACGAATTCGAAGATCTTGACATCGACTTAATAAATCTTCTACTTTCCGTGGGAATTCAGCTTCTACCTGCTCACCTTTTCAGCTCCGTTCCATAAAGGCGCTAGGAAGTCAAAATTCGCATGTGCGGACATTCGAAGCAGATTTTTCGAGTCCACCAAATTTATTCGAGCTCCCACATCACATCGCAATCACATCACAAACAAGCACACAGCGACAATGTTGCACAACACTTTTCCGACCAGGCGTATTTAGTGTTGAAACGTAATTTTACAAGTAAATGGATAGATAGATTTGTGAATGGATGGATGGATGGATGGATGGATGGATGGATGGACGGGGGCTTCGATGGATGACGAGTACGGTGGAATGGCGAGACTTCTAGACTTCTAGACTTGGGGCTTTTCGTTGAAGGCCTTCGGGTTTTTGGAGGGCATCCAAGGGCGCTTCTCGTTGCTGTCGCCTGGAAAAGAAAAGTGATTAGAGAGAGCGAGACGAAGAGAGAGAGAGAAAGAGAGAGAGAGAGAGAGAGAGAGAGAGAGGGGGGGAGATCGAGAGAGATCAAACGCTACGTACTCTTCGGCTCGCGACGCGATTCATTGCTGGATACTCGGTTGGCCGTCTTGCCCCTGTTGCGTCTGCGGACGATGACGCGGACCACTAAAGGTGACGTAAATTAAAGTATTTTGTTTGACGAGCTCCCAAACAATCTCTGCTAGCCTACCCTTAAAGTGCTCAAAATAACGTACGCAGTGCAAAAAGCACGATGACCACCACGATGCCGATGATGGAGCAGGAGATGATCATGATCACCTGACCGCGGTGCAGCCGGCGATCTGGAAAAAGGCCATTAGTGTGTCTACGGTAGATCTCCGTACATTCGCATTCCCCATCAGTTTTCACATTTTTCACGTCCTCGATGGTCTGACACTCGCCTGCGCACGCGATCTGTCCCTCTTTTGGGCATTCTGAAAACGTAAGCTTCTGTCTTCTGCGATTCCAGCAAATCCTCACGTGCAAAGTGGCAGATCGTCCTGTTTTCCTCGTCGAAGCTCATCGACGTGATCCTGTCGAACCCGATGCACGTGTAGTCATTTCCAGCCCAGCAGGCAAGTGTGTTGTCCATTCCGGCACACTCCTTCGCCGGCTTCAGCCCTGGAATTCAAAAGTCAAAACGTGGAAGTTGGTGTCCGTACGCTGCAGCTCGTTCGGGTTGATGAGATGGCATTGGTCCTCGTTGATGATCGTCTTGATGTGCCAGTAGGGGACGCAGACCTTCTTGTTGCCCCTGTCGCGGATGTTGCACGGTTGATGATCATCGGGACAGCCTGAAAAGCAGGAATGGCTTCTTGCTCTCTCTCTCTCTCTCTCTCTCCCCTCTCTCTCTCTCTCTCTCTCTCTCGCTCTCCCTTGCACGCTCTCTCTCCCTCGCACGCTCTCTCCCTTTCGCACTCTCTCTCTCTCTCTTTCTCTCTCTCTCTCTCTCTCTCTCTCTCTCTCTCTCTCTCTCTCTCGCTCTCGCTCTCGCTCTCTCTCTCTCTCACCGTACCCTCGAAGCCGCACACTCCCGTCCGGTCGTTGTACCGCGTCAGCGTGGAGTCCTTCTGATCCGGGGTCCACATGAACTGACACGACTTCTCGTTCTCCCCACAGTCCACGTATCCGATGGGGCATACTGTAAGAAGTTGGTTGAGTTCAGTTCTCGACAACTACAGGTAGACTCATTCGACGCCTGGCATGCGCCCTTCTCGTTAATGGAGCTGATGAAGGAGAAGAACGTGCAGTAGGGTTTCGGGTCAGGCCCTCCTCCGGTGCATGGATAGGTTGAGGGTTGCTTGGGACAAGCTGTAAACAAGGATGAAATTCAAACGCGGTGTATACCGGTCAAGGTGCACAGCATCGTCGTGTGGTTGTACTGTAAAACCGAGGAGTGCTGGACGCAGATCGGCGTGTAGCGTGTCCCACAGTCCACCTGGTTCTCTTCAGGACATCCTGAAACGGAAGGTGCCAGGTTGTCTATGACCTACCCGTCCATTTCCATTTACCGGGAAGTTTGCCCTCGCTCAGCATACCGAATGGGACACATCCTGTGAAGCCTTCAGCCCTAAGCTGCGCATGGTCGGTTGGGCAACCTGGAAGGTGACTTGGCTTAAGTGCAGTTGACCCCCAGTCGGCACCGACCGACCGTATCTCGGCCGCCTGTTCATCTACAGGTATGTAAAGTATGCCAAACTGTTCGTCTTGCTCTGGCGAGTATTTTGGTATACTTTACACACCTGTAGATCATCTGCATTCGAGATACGGTAGGTGGGGTTCGGCGGGGGAGGGGGAGGGGGTAAACGGCACGCTAACCGGGGACTTCATTCCAAAAAAAACCGGATACCTTTTAGCTCACATAATCCCGAAGTTTCATTTTGCAACAGAGTCTTAGGCAAACAGATGGGCTGCCCATCCTTCCCGGGGCAGGCCACGGCCGTGGAGCCGCACTTGGTGGATGATGTCCAAGCGATCGCCGCCAATCCCTCCAGCAACGTCGCCGAGACTACCAGGCACAGGTGGATGGCTCGCATGACGTGTCCGAGCATTGGGCTGAAAAGTGCCATGCAAACACAATTAGCATTTCGAAAGAGCCCACTTAATTAGCATGCCTAATTAGCGCTCCTAAGAAAAAAACTAACCTAAGAAAAAAAAGACCAACCTTCCGCGCTCGGTGAATGGAAAAATGAATTACCTATAGGGCCGCACGTGCCCGGCTCGCAAGTTAATTTGCGTATGTAAATTACACAACTTCCGGCAGGCTAAAGATTTTGCGCCAACGTTTAGTTTGTGGTTGTATCAGGTTGGAAGGTAAGTCCTGTCTCCGAGATTTCGAAGAACTGCCTAAAATCGCAGATAGCATCATTTTTGACATGCGATATGTCATTTGGTAGCCCTCGACCTAAATTTCTTCCGGAGGGTCCGTCCTGGGCCACTAAAATGAAGGGGGGTCGAGATACAGGCCCGAGAAGTTTTTGGCGAAATTTGGGAAAAGTGTTTTTGCAAGTTATCTCTGCATAGAGCAATTTGCATGCAATTTTATCAAAATCCTCATGTGATGTTCCAAAATCGAGCGGCAAGTTTTGGCTCGTTCTTGCCTGATGTATGGGATTTCGAGAAAAGTTCTAAGAAATGGCTCGAATTTCAAGAGACCGTATCTCAGCCATGCTGTTTCCGATTTGGATGATCTCAACATCCATCGATATCTACTCCTCGAGATCTATCGATTGGCGCTCAAGGTATCGCATGCAAATTGCTCTATGCAGAGATAACTTGCAAAAACACTTTTCCCAAATTTCGCCAAAAACTTCTCGGGCCTGTATCTCGACCCCCCTTCATTTTAGTGGCCCAGGACCTTTCTCCGGAAGAAATTTAGGTCGAGGGCTACCAAATGACATATCGCATGTCAAAAATGATGCTATCTGCGATTTTAGGCAGCTCTTCGAAATCTCGGCGACAGGACTTACCTTCCATCCTGATAGTTTTTTGGTGAAAGAAGTATGTCGCCACCTTCAGGGCTTGTATTTTGTGAGGAACACCTGCATATATTTTATCTATGCGGAAAATTGTGGCACTCTAGTAGCCTTCTGTACAAAGAGTACAAAGATTAATAGGTGTTGATGATCAGTTTCGTAGCAAGCACTGCGAGTGTCGAGATGTATGTGATCCAAATTCGGTTGGCGGGCGACGATTTCGCTGAAAAGGAAGCTGGAGTAGTTAGAACAAGTAGGTCCCTTGCAACAGCCTGTAGTTTGCCCCACTCTCTTCTCAAATATACCCAAGTTTGGCATCAAAGTTCCCCTTCCGCTCATAAAAGTTGGGAAATATTCGTCCTAACCTTGTTAGTAGAAATTCATTCTGTAATGATTTTGTTGCGCCCGCCTGTGTGAAGCGGAATTCAACTCGTAGAGGGCATAGCCGAGGTTTCAATGGTTCTAGATTAATTCGATCTGCGTTCAAAGCGATCAAAACCAGAATTCAAAAATGTCAACTTGGGGTGAAAAGTCGATTTTTGTACTTTAGATTAATTGCGCGCTTCGGGGCACAGTGAGACAGTTGGCGCGCGGGTCGGTGAAGCAAGAGCTGAAGGATTTTACGCAAACCATTTCGTTTCTTTTCCCCCAAATGCAGGCCCTTAGGAGAGGGGGGAAACTGAGACAAGCTGCCTCCCCCCGCGCAAAATCAGTCGAAATTTTTAGTTTGTAGAACCATTTTTAATGCCATCGAGCTCATTGTTTTTGACATTGCTAGCCTGGGCTTGCTTTTATGGGAATCAAAAATCGAAATAGAAAACGAACCTGGGGACTGCGGTTTCTCCTCAGGAGCGGCATTAGCAGCCGCAGCAGCAGCTTTATCTTCCGGTGTGGCGCGAATACACTGTTCACCCTTCCACGTTGAATTGATTGTTTTTAGGTCGTCGTAGGGAATGCATTCCACCCCGTCTTCCACGGTGCATGGGTGCGTACCAGGTTTATCCGTGCAGCCTAAACGCGACTTCAAGATTTTTAAAGTTTTTTGTTATTTAAAAAACCGCTGTAAATCCCACCTATGGCGATACAGCCGCCCCTGGTGATGTTGTAGTCCTCGAGCACATCTGCCGTAACGCACAGCGGAGCCCAAGTGCCGCAATCGATCTCCCTTTGCTCCGTACAATCTAACAGGAAAGATAACCAGCATTGTGAATGACTGGACCCACGTTCCCACATCCAAAACGTGCTGAGTGAACCATTGACGAGGCGGTTGATCGGTGCGCAGGTGGTGTTCTCGGTTAGTAGCTGGATTTTTGCCTCGCCCGCGGGGCATCCTAGAGAAGTGTAGAATGGATTATCTTTTGCTAAAGCTGGCTTATTTGACAGCCATATTTTTTAATCTACATTTGTATTCGTTTCTAAGCTCGAGCTACGCCGTCCGTTCCCACCGGTGAAAATGCAGCCGGGGGCTTCCGGATCGACGAGGTTGCGTTTGAGGGCGCAAATTGGGCCGTCATCTTTCCCGTAGCACACCTTCGAGATTTGCACACAATCTAAACAACCATCTTCGTTAGTCTGGGTCCCATTACCTGGGCACCCGCGTTTTGCACAAAACTCGGGAGAAAGCGTCGTATTCGGGGCGGTGAGCTCGGCGGTGTAGAGGACGAGGACGAGCAGGTAGACGAACAGCATAGCTCCAGAACCGCCACAAAATTTAGTTGAGATGGCAATCAACCAAAAGCTACGCAGCCAAGAGAGAAACCGTAGAATCAGCCAGACATGACCGAATTCGACCGGCGCATTCAAATAAAATTTTGGGAACTAGCCAACTGTTTATTCAAAGATGGCATTAGTTCAGTGCAAAATGTGAAATTTTTGCGGCGATAATGTTGGTAATGAAGACGATGGAGTTGAAGAGAAGCCAAGACGTGTTTGAGCCGGACGACGTTCCTGAGGGCCGAAAAAATAAATGTCTTTTTGCGTAAGTGACCTTATGGCTGTTCTTCGCCGTGCGCGGCAGGAGGTACTGTAGCCATCGCTGCAGCTTTCTCATCCGGTGTAGCGCGAATGCACTGATCAACATCCCACGTTGAATTGATCGACTTCAGGTGGTCGTAGGGGATACATTCCACTCCGCCCCCCACCAGGCAGGGGCGCGTACCGGGTTTATCGGGACCGCAGCCTAAAAAGACAATTCTTAAAGGCGCGATGCAGCCACGAGCGCACCAATGGCAACACAGCCTCCGTTGCTGATGTTGTAGTCCTGGAGATCAAGTTCCCGGATGCAAATAGGCGTCCAAGTACCACAGTTGATCTCACTTTTCTGCGTGCAGTCTATCAAAAAAAAAAATAGAGATGTGTGTGGCTGCACTGACGCTCCCAGATCCAAGTCTGGCTGAGTGAAGCATTGATGATGCGGTTGAGCGGTGCGCAGGTGAGGTTCCCGTAGGTGAGCTGGATCTTGGCCTCGCCCGCCGGGCAGCCTAGAGAAGTTCTTTGTAAGGGGCTCTCGCCCAAATTGTTTTTTTTAACCTTCCTATCCTCGTTTCCTTACGATTTTTCCAGTCATAAATTTTCTTGCCAGCCACACTCGTGACACATAATTTTCCCCGAATTTCAGCGATGTCTAGGCCTGGCGCGAAGTCAGAAGCCGATAAGGAGATCGGGAAACTGAAGTGCAGGGGAAAAGGCAGAGTCTGGAAGACATATATAAGGTGATGACATTTCCGCTGCTCAGATTCTGACTCCCTGACCCCGAACTGATCAAAATGCACTCAATCTCACTACCTTTATTTTTGATTTTCTGCCTAGCTTACCGTAACCATGCCCTGGATATCCTCATGTACAACCCTGGGATGGGGCACAGCCACATGAAATTTATGGGCGGAATGGCGGATATTTTGACGGCTGCTGGACATGTTGTGGTATGTTTTAACATTTGTAATAATTCTAATTATTTTCATTTTTTAATATGAAAACTACCTAAAATGTTGACGAGTGCATTTTAAAAACGAACTTTACTTAGATGAATTTTTGTAGTAGCTTAATTACAATCTAAAAAAACGCCGATTGTTAATTAAAGCCTCGTTCCGGATCAACTTTTCAAGGCGTGAAAAATTCAGCGTAAAATGTATCAATTGAATAGTAGCTGAATAGTTATGCGGTATAAAAATAATGCTTTGCTAAATTGAAAACAGGAATTTCGCCCTCCCAGGGACGTAGCGTAATACAGGCCCCGGGGGCCCGCCCCGAAATCGGCCGGGGCCTGAAAATTTCATAAGGGGGGACCCTTATGATTTTTATTTTCTCAAAAATTTTGCTGCCTGCGGCGCTATTTTTTCACGTTTTTACGGCTATTTGTAGAGCTATGCAACCTTTTTTTCGAAAATTTTTGCCTGCGGCGCTGTTTTTTCGGCAATTTTTTGAGTTGTTTGGAAAAATTTTCTGGGGGCCCCCCCCCCGAAATTTTTTTCTGGCTACGCCCCTGCACCCTCCCGAAAAGTCTAACCATGATTTTTGTTCGCTGTTCTATAATTAATATAAGCCCTATGCAACGGTTACTTAGGCAAATTTTTCCGAGCAAGAAAAAGGCATTTTATTAGAAAGTTCTTCCAGACAGAAATCCGACCCCGAATGGACCCGCACGCCAAATGGGGCGGCGTTTCGAAAAGCAAGCATCTTTTGCATTACCCGATTGACAAGGAAGTGCTGCGATTTAGGGTAAATTTATTTGATCATCTCTTTCTCCCACTCTCTCTCTCTCTCTCTCTCTCTCTCTCTCTCTCTCTCTCTCTCTCTCTCTTTCGCTCGCTCTTTGTTTCTCTCTCTCCTCACTCTCTTTCTTGCTCTCTCTCCTCACTCTCTCTCTCTCGCTTTGTCGAAGAAAGGGATCTCTCGCGCTCTTTCTTCTAAAGTCCCTGACCCACGCCTATTCAGGCAGCAATGGAAAACGACCCGAATCTATTCATGGCGCAGCTTTGGGCCAAAGATATGACGCCGTTCGAAATGGCAAAAGTGAGTGCCCTTCGTTCTATTTTATTTCACATACAGACTGAAAATTTTATCATGCCGATTCGTCTTTTAGATGACGGAAAACATGACGTTCAGTTTCGCCCGGATGTGCGAGCATGCCGTGTTTGAAACGGACCTACTCGTGACGCTGAAAAGCAAAAAGTATGATGTCGGAATCAGCGAGGCGATGGACGAGTGTGGACATGGTAGGTGGGGAGAGAGAGTCAGAAAAAGCGAGAGAGAGAGAGAGAGAGAGAGAGAGAGAGAGAACAAGAGAGAGAGAAGTGAGAGAGAGCGCGAGAGAGAAAGAGAGGGTGGGAAAGAGATAGAGAGAAAGCAACAATTCAGTAATTCAGGATATTTCAGGAATTTTCGAAGCCATCGGCTTGAAGACCGTCATAGCCGCGTCGAGCATGAACATCATGGATCATCAGGCGGCACTTTTCGGCATTCCGCGGCACTGCAGCTATGTCCCAGGTACAAATCATCATTTCCTTGCTCTCCATCTCTTTCCCTTTCTCTCTCCCCTCTCTCGCTCTCTCTCGCTTTCCATCTTCGCCAGTAATCCAAAAACATTTTAGGAAGCATGGGGAACTCCAAGCAAGAAATGAACCTCTGGCAACGAGGGCTGAATATGCTGGGATCCTTTTTCGAATCCCGAATGATGGACGGGGTTATGGCAGCACAGGACGCGGTGTTTAAGAAGCATCTAGGGGCCGGGTTTCCGGAACTAAAGGTTGGTGGATGCCTTGGATGACTTTCGGTCCTATCTTGGTCTTACAGCGAAAGAGAGAGAGAGAGAGAGTGAGAGAGTGATAGAGAAAGAGTGAGAGTGAGAGAGAGAGCGAGAGATAGATAGAGAGAGTGAGAGAGAGAGCGAGAGATAGATAGAGAGAGAGCGAGCGAGAGAGAGAATAAATTTACCTGTACTTCAGGACATCATCGCCCGCTCCGCTATCTTGTTCACCAATACCCAACCCTACATCGAATTCCCGAGGCCAACTATCCACAAAGTTGTGGACCTGGGTGGAATCCACATCAAGGAAAAGTTGCCGCCCCTTACTGAGGTCTCTAGGCCAACCTTACTAACACGTTTTTCGTAATTTGCAGCGTAACGTAGCCTTGCCGTAGGTTCATAAAATATTTTAGGGATGGAATAACGTCCTCTCCAAAAAACCGAAAACTGTCCTGATCTCGTTTGGCTCGGTGGCAAAGTCATTTTTGATGCCGCTCACCTACAAAAAGGCAATCGTAGAAGCAGTTCGAGAAATTTCAGGCATGTTATCATGGCCTCTCTTGAATTCTGAAACGTTTTTTAGACGTCCAATTCATCTGGAAGTACGAGGAGGACGACCTGAACTCCTGGGACCTGCCCGAAAATTTGTATTTGAGCAAGTGGACTCCACAGACTGCGTTGTTGGGTAAGAGGGCCCTCGATTTTGTTTTAAAGGGACCTGGAAAGCTGAACCAACACGTTATTTGAGTCCAGGTCCTTTGAAAATCCATTTTTAGCGGACCCTCGTCTTAGCCTATTTGTTAGCCATGGTGGACTTGGAAGTACGATGGAAATTGCTTACAGGTAGGCGGTCTCTGTATCTCGCTCGTTCTCTCTCACCCGCTCTCTCTCTCCATCTCTCTCTCTCTCTCTCTCTCTCTCTTCTCTCTCTCTCTTACAATATAGGAATTCTAGTGGAAAACCAGCGATCGTCATTCCTCTCTTCGCCGATCAGCCCCGGAATGCCCAGATGCTAAAACGACACGAAATTGTCGAAATCATGTCTAAATTCGACTTGGCGGACAACCTAAAGCTGAAAGAGGCAGTTCAAGCAATGCTGAACGATGAAAGGTTCACCATTTTTATCTTTTCCTGTCAACTCGATATTCTAGCGCTCAAAAGAAAGCCGCTCACATCTCCTCGATGCTAAAGCATGCTCCACTGAAGCCAAAAGAACTCTTGTTGAGGAACGTGGAATTTGTGGCAAAGTAAGTTTAATCGTAATTTTTAGGTTTTGCGTCAATATCTAAAAAAGTTTATTTTTTCCTAAATTCTAAATTTCTTTTTTTAGATTCGGCTCCCTGCCCCAACTCGACCCTCACGGACGGCAGCTCTCCTTCATCCAGTATTTCTTGTTGGACGTTCTCGGTGCTCTGCTTCTTTGCGCTCTCTCCATTCTCACAGTCGTCTACTTGGTCCTCAGAAGAATCTACCGCTTTTTCGTGCCAAAAACGAAGACGAAAAGCGAATAGGTTTATAGTCAAAATCGGGCTGTGACATCGATCTCATTTTAGGCGCAATAAATTATTCTGCTTTACTGGATACGCAAATTATTTGCATAGGTGATTTATCAGTAGCTGCAGAGAGATCCCTCCCTTTCGCACGTAGCGTCTCTCTCTCCCTCTCTTTCTCTCTCTCTCTCTCTCTCTCTCTCTCTCTCTCTCTCTCTCTCTCTCTCTCTCTCTCTCTCTCTTGCTATTTTTCATTATTTTGCAACAAAATTTATCAAAAATTAAAATTAAACACAGAACAACATATCTTACTGGCGGCGTGGGGAGCGGAAGGCGGGTTTTTAGAAGGCACAAAATAGGCAGAGACTCGAAAGTATTTTCCGATTAGCATAACACGGGACCAACCAAGGAGTGCACTAACGGTTCGTCAAGAGAAGTGCCGCAGAAAAATGGTTAAATTTCAGATTAAACTTAAAAAGAGCATTTTGTGGACCTCGTAGCACAAGCAAAAAATAATAGACAATGACGGCAATACCTAGATTAAATTATATTAAATTAAAAACAGGGGAAAATTGCATAAAAGCTTCAATAGGTGGACCGAGAGACCAATTGTTCAGGGCAAAAAATCGAGATGTAAAAATTTCCAGAAATTCGCGGCAGTGTGTTTTTTGTGTGGTTGTGTAGGAAGTGGAAGAATTTGAGATTGTGCGCGTGGCATTCTTTGGGGGGAGCACCAGAATTAAGTAGGAATTGAGGAGTTATAGTAGCGTTTAATAGGCCGGGTTGAACGACTGGCCGTGCTCGCAGTTGCTGTAGTAGTCAATGCGACGGTCGATGTCGTGTTGTACCTGGAAAAATTGAATTGAGTATTGTCTAGTTCGCTCAAAATCGAGTAAAAATGCCGACAATTTATATCCTGACACCATAATACCGACAGTGACAATTGTCGACAATTCTTAGTTTGTTATGGTAGCTGCCATGCATATTTAGTGCGTTCCTTGTCGGTATTTAGCCTGTCGAAATTGCTCTAAGCCTGTCGAGATTTTTGCAGGTATCGGTATTCTGAGCTAAAGCTTTTAGCACCAGGCGGAAGGCCTAAGAAAAAGACTTGGAATTTCAAGGTTTTGGGCATCTTACGAGAGCTACTGCTCCCGGCTGTCGGCATTTTTAAGCGGTCGGCATCTGGATCTAATCTTGGTTCCATTTAAGGATTAGTTTAGTGACCGATTGTATTACATTAAGATCGCCGATATAACCCTAAATTTTTCTACTTACCGTCGTCAATCGCTGGTTGAGCTGATCGAGCACCTGGACGTAGTCGGCCAGCTGGAGCTCTGTCGAATCCTTGGTGAGGGCTGAAAAACGGGTTGAATACGGCTTTGATCGTTCGCCAATGTTCTCTGTTAGCGCCCCACACGAGGCCAAAAAATCTATACTGGTTTGACCGAGACGGTATCTTAAATAAAGTTTACTAGCCCACGTCGGCTGTTCAAAGAATCTCAGCTAGTTTACCTCATCCTCGTAAGCTTTGGTAGCCTGCTCTAGCGATGAGATACTGCGATTCAATGATCTCTGCTAGCTTGCCTCATTCAAGCGGGAAGTTTTCGGCACACCAAACTCTTTAAAAACTTCTGCTAGCCTGCCGGATCTTCAAATTTGGATATTGACACGTTCTGCCCAAATGAACCACTCACCCGAGATGTCCCCGTTGTACTTCTTGGCCTTGTAGAGCAAGTTGTGAGCTCGTTGTCGCAGCTCTTCAGCCCGCTTTTGTGGCGCCTCATTTCCTTCTGTCCTTTCCACAAGCAACTTTCTGGCGGTAGCCATGTCGTTCTCAATCTGCTTATTCTGAGCCTCGGCTGTCGCGGCGGCTTGCTGGGCCTTGTCGACGGAGGTGTAGGCCGACTTGGCGTCGTCAGAAATCTAGAAAGCGTGTTTTTGGAGCAAGGAGGGTGAAGGTAGCTAAATCTGGTTCTGAGCTTCATTTTCAAGCTGTTCAGGACACCGGAAATTCCAAAATTAATTGTACCTGCAAGTATTGGACGCGAACTTTCTTCAAATCAGCTTCAAGCTTTGCCATGGTCTCGTTGGCCGATTTGGCGCGTCCCTCGGCTTCTTCTGTCTCAGTCTTGGCGGATTCGAGGTTTTCTCTGAAATTTTTTTGACTAGTTTGCCTCTCTCTTTCATTCACTCTCTCTTGCTCTCTCTCTCTCTCTCTCTCTCTCTCTATCTCTCTCTCTCTGTCTCTCTTTCTCTCTTTCTCTCTTTCCCTATCTCTGTCGCTCTCTGTCTTTCTCTCGCTTACCTAGCTTTGGTCATCTTCTCCTCAGCATTCCTAATGGCATCGTTAGCCGCTGTCTGAACCTCTTGAGCCACCTTCAAGGCCTCCCGAACAGTTTCCGTGGTGTTCTTGATGACGTTGGCACGCTCCTCCGCCCTCCTAGCTTCTTCCTCCAGACTAGTCGCCTTCTGCTTATCAGCCTGGGTTTCACGGAGGATCGCGTCAATGTTGTTGATCTTGCCGAGGGCCTCGTGGATCTGAAATTTCAATAAATTTGTAAAAATCGCCTAAATCACTGACCTTCTTGGCGAGCTCGTCAATCTGATCGGGCTTGAGGCTGATCTCCATCTTCAAGACCTCCTCGGCCAAGCTTCGGACTTGTTCGGGGGAGCTGCGGTTAGAGCTGATGAAGTCTTCCATTTCTCCGACCATAGTGTCGAGCTCATTTCGGGTGTGGTTAGCACGAGCTGCTGCTTCTTTCGCGACCCTGGAAAGAGTAATTTGGTGGCGTAATCGGTTAAACTAGCGCCAGATACCAAGCGTCTTCTCTCTCACTCTGTCTCTCGCTCTCCCACTCTCGCTCTGTCGCTCTCTCGCTCTCTCTCTCATTCTCCTCGTTACTTACCTCAATGTCTCCTCAGCCTCCCTCTTGGCAGCGTCAGTCACCGACAGCACATCACGAACCAGCGTCAACACCTGCTCGCTCTCCTTCTGCTTCTCATTGAGCTTCAAGTCAGCCTCGAGCGCGAAGCTTTTGGCTTGCTCGGCTTGAGACACAGCTCCTTCCATGCAACTCTAAATTCTCCATATTTTACCGTTTTTGTGTTACTCACCTTTCCTCCACAGATTCCGCCACACTTTCCACCCGGTCCTCCACACAGGGCATCACAAGGAGCAGCAGCCGCGCCGCAGACCTGCCTGTTGAGGTCGGGGAGCGCGGCTTCGAGGAGGTGCACAGCATGCTCGCTCTCCTGGAGCTGCTTCTCGTTCTGGGAGTACTGCTCGTCAAAGTCTTCGCGGTTCTTTTCCATCAGCTGCTCGGTAGCGGTGGCCTCGGTTTCGGCTTCGGCGACCTAGAAAAGTTGCTGATCACGTCTGTTGCGGAGGCGCCTGTGAGCGCCCGCGCCCTTTTCCCTTTGCTCCCCGGTCCCTCGCCTATCCAGTGCCCTTTCCACCGTAACGGGGTCTCTCTTCCCCCAGGGGCCTGCGATGGCATTTATTCCCCAGTTCAGTTCTAATTTCCTCCTCCTATTGCCGCCATGTCGTTCACCGAATAAACAGTCTTTCGAACTGTTCGTCCCGCGCTGCCACACTCTACGCAAGAATGATGATTCTTATCAACTTCTATCAACACACAACAACTGGCGAGCAGGATCACGAACTCACGCAACAACAAGGAAACCCCCAAGCCAAGAAGCAGCCGCTCAAGCCGCCGCCCGGTCAAGGAAAAGTTGGTCAAGCAGATGGTGATCAAGCGCAAGGACAAGAAGCTCTACATGGCAAGAAGCGGCGTCATCCCGTGGAGGATTCGATTAAAAGGGAAGTATTTTTACCCCTATCTGGCCTTCGCACTTTTTATGTGCTCGGATCGTGCGGGCATGCCCGTCGACAAGAAGGACCAAGTCGAAGCGCGCCGTCTTCACCTCAAGTGCAACGAAGGAAGGAAGGATGTCGCCACTAAGGACGACAAGAAATGCAGAGAAGGTCGAGACGAAAGGGTCACAATGAGGCATCCGGCTGCCCCTCGCCCGCTCGAACTCCGTCAAGACCGGCCGCGAAACAACTTCAAAAAGAAGAACGGTTATGTCCTCACCCACAAAGGACGGGATACGCTTGCAAAGAGGTTAGGCTTGGAGATTGTCCCTCCCATATCCCCGGAGGATAAATCGGACAGGGTATGCCCCCACCCGCAGCATCCAAAACTTCGATGGATCCGCGCCAGAAAGGAATTCGGACCGCTGGACGATGGCCATCGATCGCACGAGGAGCGCCACGAGCCCCGGCGAACAAAAAGCGACAACATCAAGTCGACAAAGCCCGGATCGCCACCACCAAGAGCAGCCGGCCGATGGGTTCCACCTCTACGGAAGAGGTCCATCGCAAAGACCGAGTGTTTGCAACAGCTCGGCGGACGGAGCGCGCACATCGAGCAGCCCGTCGACATGAAGCCCAACATCAAGCTCATCATTCTTGCAAAGAGGGAAGGAAGTCGTGCCACAAGTCGCCGTCTTCCTTGGTCAAGCATCGCCGGACGTTCTGAAGGAAGGAAGGAAGGATGACTAAGCCCTACGCTCGCCAATTTAAAAAGGAAAAGCAAATAAGTATCCACTTATTTTACGTTGTGATTTGATCCATCGTTTTGCTGTACGCAGTTGTACATTGCCTTTTGGTGTCTCCTCCTCTTATCCACATTTCTTTTCGTTTGTACAGGGGGAGGTGTTGCGGAGGCGCCTGTGAGCGCCCGCGCCCTTTTCCCTTTGCTCCCCGGTCCCTCGCCTATCCAGTGCCCTTTCCACCGTAACGGGGTCTCTCTTCCCCCAGGGGCCTGCGATGGCATTTATTCCCCAGTTCAGTTCTAATTTTCCTCCTCCTCTTGCCGCCATGTCGCTCACCGAATAAACAGTCTTTTGGAACTGTTCGTCCCGCGCTGACACACATCTACGCAAGACACAACAACGTCCTTCTCTCTTTCTTTCTCTCCCTCTCTCTTACCTTGCCCATCGCAGCATCAACCCTCCTCTGAGCGGCCAAAGATTTCTGCGCGGACTCCTTGGTGATGTTGTAGGCTCCCTGCACATCGGTCTCCTTGATCTTGTTGGCCTTCTCCTGCAGATCCATCGATTTCTGCGTCAATCGCTCGGCCTCAGCCTCCATATCCTCCAGCTCCTGCTCAGCAAAGTCCACTGCCTGGGTAGCATTTGCCACATTGCTCTCGACGACGTCAAGACGGTCCCTAGCCTTCGTCATCAGGCCGCGAAGGCGGTCAATCTTCTTCTCGAGGTCGTCGAGGTGCTCCTGGCTGATGTTGGCCTCCTCGAGCTTCTTCTTGGTCTCGGCAAGTTCGCCCTCCATCTTCTCGAACTTTTCGTCGTAGGCAGACGCCACGCCGGTGTCCTCGATGTTGTTGGCGGTGTTGATGAGGCCTTCGACCTAGAATTTGCGCATTAATGGATGTCAATTGGCCTGTTAATTAAACATAAATATTTATATTGTTTTTAATTGATAATACTTTTAACATTCCATAAAATCTTTGAAAGTTTTAAACCCAGGTTTTTTTAGTTAGGCCATCTTCGAAGTCGAAATTTTTTGACTACATGCCGCTTTTATTAAATTTCTTAATAGAATTTATATATTTCAAATATTTATGAATAGAATATTATAACAAAAAAGAATATGGTCAAAAAACCAATTTCTAGTACAGAAAAACTTTTAAAAGCAAGAAAAAGGTCTGAAATTTTTTCACTTTTCACGTCCTGCATCGAAAAATCGATTTTTAAATCTAAGATTTTGTAACTATGCTTTAAAATGCTCTTGCTCAAAAATAGCAACGTATGCTTACCTTCGACTTCAGCCCCTGCACGATACCATCCCACTGATGGAAGCAGTCGCCGCAAGGCTGGCAGTACGGCCACTGGCCGGTGTATCCACGCGCACACTCGTTGCAGAGAGCGCCTACGATCAGACGTTTAAGGTTCCGATACCTCGTACATACCTCCAGATCCTGGCAGACACACGCAAGTTCCATTCTGGCGGTTGCACTGGGCAGTCGCACTTCCGGTCGGGTTGCACTCGCAGCGCTGGCAGCCGTCGGCCTTGGTCGGATCTCCCCAGAAGAGGTCTTCGCACTCGGAGCAGGTGCGTCCTGAAAATTGTGTTGAAGCGCGAAGGGTGAATGTTGGACGTCTCGAAAACGCCTGAAAAATCATACCTCCACGTCCAGCCTTGCAATGGCAACGACCGTCGAATCTGTTGCACTGAAGCTGCGGGTTGCCCTCATGGTCATTGATGACACCGTTCGAGTCGCACTCGCAAGAGGCGCATCCCTAAAAGTGCGTTAATAAATTAATCAAATAGCGACAAGCGCATCGTCGACATTCTAGAAACTCATGCTCACCTCTCCACTCGCCAAATTGTAGTGATTGTCCGCGCACTGGTCGCACTGCTCCCCGATGACGTTCGGGTAGCACGGGCACTGGCCGGTGATGATGTCGCAGGCTCCAGCGGTTGCATTCGTTCCCAAATGGTTGCACACGCAGCGTTGGCACGATCGGATCTTGGCATCCCCGAAGAAGCCGGAAACGCAGTTCTCGCACTGGGCACCCTCGGTGTTGTAGAGACACTTCAGACATTCGCCGGTTTCCTTGTCGCAGGAGCCTTCGACCTAAAAAAAGCTTCTTGCTTGTTGCTGGATCTGGTTTTCGCCTTCAAGAAAAAAAGTAAAAAACGGTTTGCGCCATTCTGTCAAATTTTATCGAATTAGGAAAAATTTTGGGAAAATACTAGAATGCTGAATGCTATAATATTTAATTTGCCAAAACCTCATTTACATCAAAATAAAGGCTATAACGCCGAATTTTCATAACGCCCAATTTTCGGTCTGTTGAATTTTCATAATGCGCAATTTTCACAATAAAAAGTCCTAATACCCAATTTAACGACGCCAAATGTTAATAATGCCGATGATAATTTGCTACCACGAAAATTCGAAATAAGGAAAATGATGCAATAATAATCATAGAAATTCGACATTATGACAAGCTTATGACATCCTCGAAAATCACCTTTGCGAAAAGCGCTTTTTCCTAGAAGTTTTTTGGAAAATTTGTGGTGAGCGACCAATAGGAAAGGGTAAGAAACTATACGGCAAACTTCAGAAAATTCAGATTTTTGAAAGTGTCGAAATGTGTCGAAAGTTTTGTAAGAAAAATGACTTTTTCGAAAACTGCGTGTTTCTCAGAACCACACTTTTTGAGACGAAGAGGGTTTTGTAGAAAAAAGGCCAAATGTTCATAATATCAAAATACTTACCCCAATATCGATATTGCCATTACAGTCGCACTTGACGCACTCCTCTCCGACGGCTTTCGGGTTGCCCCAATGGTTCACGGCACACTCGGCGCATCGTTCGCCAACGTATCCGGGTCGGCAGTTGCATTGCACGTCTTGAGTTCCATTCGTTCGGGTCAGATAGCAAGTGTCAGCATGTTGGAAGCCACTGGTCGGGCCGCCTGGGCACGGGCAGGGTTTGCAGGCCAGGGAGACACCAAGTCGTGGATCTCCATAATATCCATCCTGGCACCGATCGCAGTAGTGTCCAGCCGTCAGATTTCGGCACTCGATGCAAGCTCCGGTTTGCTGGTCGCAAATGTTGGCGTGGCCGTTGCACTGGCACACACGGCAATCCGGGAAGCTCCAGAAGCCGGGTTGGCACTGGTTGCACTGACGTCCGTAGATGCCCTTCTCGCGGCAGAGACATTGGCCGGACTGCTTGTCGCACCTGGAAGGGTTGTTAGGAGCTTGTAGTGGACCGGAAGTTATTTTTTACTAATTTTTTAATGTATTTTCCAAGTATTCCCCTTTAGAGGAGGAATCGCTTTTTTGTTCTTTTTAGCCCGCATAATTACATATCAATGAACCGAAAATCTTAATTCAGCTTGTAATTAACCGGAAGTTACTTTTTTGACTAATTTTTATTATTTTTAAAGGTATTCCCTTCAAAGGAATAATCTATTTTTTCGGCGAATCTGGTAAGACGGCATAATTCCATCTCAACAATTTTGCATTTTTACTACTTGCCGATAAAAATAACCTATAAAAATTATGAACTTTTTGACTTAATTAAAACATTTGTAAAACTAAATTATTAAAAGAATTTCGGATATGGTGATTGTTTTCGTCGATAATGTAGGAAAAATAAAATTCAAAGACTTCCTAAACATTTTCGACAGTTTTTAGCAATCAAAGGCTACGAAGAACATGTTTGTTGCGGATGTAGATTTAAATAACGGGGACATTTTCTCTCCTCCCAACTTACTGATTATGCAGAGATCCGATCGAGTCGCAAGCGCATTCCTGGCATCCGGACGGGCCGAAGCCGTAAGTTCCGACGGCGCAACGGTCGCATCTGAATCAGATAATTTTGTGAGTGCGTTTTTATGGTTATACTTCCGTATTAAAGTTTTCTACTCACCGCCTTCCAACAACATTCAACTTGCACTCGCACTGGCCACCGCCGGGCTTGCAAATGCCTGAGAAAGATCCGGTCGGGTCGCAATCACAGTCCAACGTGGTGTTGAAAGCCATAGCCGCAACCGGGCAGATGTATTTCTTGCAGACCTGAAATGTTGTTAAAATTAACCTGATTTTAAAAAAGCTATTTAATATCTATGGCACATACCTCCGTGTAATCCTTGAGCGGTGTGATGGACAGGGCGATGTTTCGGCATTGGTAACGCTCGTATTCTTCGCGACTTGGCTGGCCTCGGGGCGTGTGGAATTCCTAAAAAAGATTAATTTATTTCTACAGACAGTACTGCTGTTTTTTAATTTACCAGTTTAATGCCTTGTACAAAATAGCTGAATCGGGCATTTACAGACCTGCTAGGCTTGTATAAACCTTTCCCGCAAAAAGCAAAAAGGCAAAATATTTGCACGAAGTGGGATTCGAACCCACGCATCGATACCGATACCAGAAGAAGATACCAGTCTTTAATGACACCGAAAAGGATGAAAATAAAAGATTTGTAACCGATTTCCCAAAATTCTCTTTTTTTTAAATTTAGTCTTTGAAATAATCATAACCTTCATCGCTTTTTGCATGAAATGCTATACTACTAAAACCCGTTTTATCTAATATTCTTACAATTTTTTAATCGAATTTCCCGATTTGGATCAGACAGGCACGGATGAGTGATGCTTTTGTCCTAGCCGCCCCCTTTTGGGGCCGGGGGTACATGAGTGCCCTCCCCGTCCCCGGCTCTCAGCACGGATGGCCGAGTGGTCTAAGGCGCCAGACTCAAGCAATCGCTTCCCGCAAGTCCGCGGGTTCGGGTCTTCTGGTATCGTTATCGATGCGTGGGTTCGAATCCCACTTCGTGCAGACTTTTTGCCTTTTTGCGTTTTGCTCGGAGAGGTTGTAGAAGGGCTAGGAGCCCGAAATTTTGCTATTTTGTAAACTTTTTGGCATTATATGCTCTTTTTGAACCTTTTTCATAGGACTGTTTTTGTAAGACCTACCGCCAGGGCCTGCATCGGCGGGGCGAGGACGATGGAGTCGATCAGGAGGGTAGCGCCACTGGAATTTGCCATTTCCAGGGATTTATTTTTCGACAAACCGGTCATTCACGCCGGTGCGCTTTTCACCGAATTGAAGACGAATTTCGTATGGAGTAGCAGCATCGAGGCAGACGGCGGGTTGAACCTAAAAAGAATTAGGATATGAGTAGCTTTATTACCTATATGAACTGTTCATATCTTTAGGTGAGATACTTCTACGCTTTATCAAAATAAACCCACCTCAATATAACGGCCACCCGGCGGTAGGCGCGCAATTAGGAAGTCATCGGACGGGTTGGCGTCCTTGCAGCGGCTGTCCGGGCTCGGGTCGTCGGGGCGGATGATGGTGATCTGGATGTTCTCCCAGCCGACGGGGTCCTGAAACCATTATATTGCTTGATTGGTGGTCCTAAAGTACCCTTTGGCCATCGTAGCGGATCACGATGTTGTAGTCGTTGCTCGTCTGCAGGTTGTCGACCCTGAAAACAGCTTTTGAGATCGCTAAGCCTTTCCTGACAGTTTTTCACTCATTTTTGAATTTTCTAGGCACGTTTTGGATGCGTTCAGGATTGTTTAAAATGTATATTTTTTCAGAACGTAGATTACGTACTTGAAGGCCAGCATACTACGATCGGTAACACGAACGAAGCCCTCGCCGGTCCAGGTGTGGTCCCGGGCCTCATCGGGGCGTTCACGGTACTCGACGTCGGCCTGCAAGTTCCGTTTCAAAGCGGAAAATATTGTATTCTGGTATCGATGATCGGATTTGTTAAATTACACATTTCACCTTTTAATTAACTTAGTTAATTTGACCTAAAACTACTTGAATTAATTAAAAAATCATGACTTACATTGGTGATATTCGAGTTCTCCGCGTCATAGGTGTAATGGTCGATGCTGGCGCAGAAGGTGGACGACTCGGAGACGTCACAGCTAAATTTTTTGATGTTTAGGGTAACTTATCGAAAGGTCCACCTCTTCCTATTAATGCTCAAAACACCCACGTTCTGCCCGAGAATCCGTCCTTGCACTTGCACTGGCCCGTCTTGAGGTCACAGGTGTTGTCCAAGGAGCCTCCAATGTTGCAGTCGCACGGGAAGCAACCCTCCGGGGTCTCGGAAAGTCCGTAGTGCTCCGGCTGAACGATTTAAGGTATCTTAAAACATTTTAAAACTTACCAAGCACTGATCACAGTTCTCGCCAGTCACGAGACGCTTGCAGTGGCACAGCCCGGTGTATTTGTCGCAACCCTAAAATTTATTTACCTTAAGGTTACGGTACACTTTTAATGTATGATTTGGTGGGTTATATAGAGTGTATTAAGAAGAACGAGATACACGTTTCCTAGTATTAAAA